ATTTCCATGAATGCCGTGTTTAAAAACTATGATAGGGAAGGGGTTTAAATTAGTTTAATGAACCAGACTCTGTATAATGTTACAGGGTAAACTATTCCAAAGGGTTGCACCGCTATAACTAAAACTATTTTTCATGTTGTAAGTTCTGAGAAAGAGGACAACAAGTTTGTTTACCGAGCCTGTTTTTAATATAATATTACTGTTTCTTTAATATAACTTACAATTATATCACAGGTTAGTCTTGCATTTGAACAATGCTTAACTTAAAGACACCGAGTCTTGCAATCGATTTTCAGTTTGCAAAGTTGAAGGTATAAATGTTTTGATTCACAGATTAGGATGAAGTATTGGCGGGTTTTAAAACTTCCTTTTCAAAATAAGAATGAGACATTTGAAATGCTAATTATTAAACAAAGAGGAAATGACAAGAGGGGCCAGAGGCTGACTTCATTTTGTGAAAGATTTTCTCCTTTGAAAAAATGACTGACGTTATTATTTTGCCACAATTAGTGCGAACACTGTTTTTGCTTTTATCTTTTTTTTCCAGTTCAGATTTGTTAAGCACATTTAGAAACTCTTCTTCAGAGGCTACCTGAGATAAATATATGTCGAGCCTCCATTTTAGCAACTTACGTATAACCCCACCAGCTTGAAACATCTGTTAGGGTTTTATTGATGTATATGTGAATAAAATATTTGTTGCGTTGGTAAATACGACTGCAGCATAAAACACTCTAACGGAGAAAGGAAACAAACACTATTCAGGTACTCTTGTGGCTTTTTTGTGTTATAACTGTTGTAAAATTGTTTTAATTAGAGTCTTATGCTACAGGGCTGGAGAAAAATAAAAGGAAAAAAAAACGAGGAAAACAGAACATAACGCTTTGTGTCGTTATATGAGTAACTGACTTCTTAATAAAGTTGTGACGACGACGAATTTTTATTTCATATGCCAACGCAACTTTTTCGTAAAGCACACTGTATGGAATACTACTAGAATTGGGGTAGGTGTGACACAATGATAAAATAGCAGTCAATGGAAATATGCTGGATGTTGCTTTAAGTCTCTTAATAACAAGAAATGTTTGGAAACAGCGTTAAAAATTTGAACTGAACAATTTTTATTGCAGGAATATTAACTAACCTGCACGTTCAAATTTAAGTTAAATAAAATAGTAAAATAGAGCAAACATTCACCGTATGATATAGCCACAGTGGCCGGGAGAACGCTTAGTCGTTAAGGCATAAATATTCTGGTCCAATCACGCGACAAAGGAAATAGGGTGGAAGCCGATGATGATACTGAATCGTAACGTATACAACGTATAGATATGCTGAGGTGCCGAGTAGAGGCTTACATACAAGATAGCTTTAAATTTATTGTTATTCTCATTTGCTTTTCTTTCTAGCATTCTTTCTAAAATGTGGACTTTCACTTTTGTTTTGGGTAAGTCGGTTGGGCTTGTTTAAGACGTGTAGTTTTCACGAGCGAGCATAAGACACACTATGGTAGTTTTGGTTGTGAGAAAATTTTAACGCAAAGATTATTCTGATTTGCTGAGGGTAAGTTTGGATCAATTCTATGGGCAGAATGGTAAAAAGTAAGCAATGTTCGAGGCGAGTATTCTGTCAGCAAGTTCACGTAAAAATATGGGCAAAACTAAGGGAAATCAGCAACATTATTTATGCGCAGAACAGTTGTAGGAAGTTTCAGTGAAATTCATTGGCTCTAAATAAAAATTTTTTATTGTATACGTTGATAATTTCTCGTTTTGTTTTACTCTATTAATGCCTTTTAGCAGTCCTCCATTCTGATTATTACGACTCAGCAAAGAAATGTTATTGTGCTAAGTTTGAGGAATGTATATGCTCCATAAATTAGTTATAATTAGCGTTACATGTTAGGCCAAGGCTACCATCCATATTTATGAAAATACGTGCAATCTGAAGGAACGATGTTTTTTGGCTACTGAGGCTAATTAAGAGCGTAATTTAAGAGTTTTGGTAAAATTTTGAGTAAACTATACAATTTTAACGATGAGCACTGCAGTCTGGCAGTTTAAACTATTATGCGAACGGAAGCTATCCAAGCCTAACCAAGGGCCATTCGTAACAGTTCTTGACAAGAACATCGTTATTTGCGTAAAGTTTATGTGTGAAATCCATGCTTACCGCATAGATGACCAGGGACATTTGACTCTTGAGCACAGCATGACTACTGATCAGTTGTTAATTATTGACGTAGGAGTTTTGAGTTTACATTATCGTTAACGCACACGATAACGGAGGCTCAAAAAAACGAGATAGACAGTCATTAATTAACTAATTGTGCAAAGTATGTATATTTATTCCTCTGTGAAATTATGTTCTTTGTCACAGTTGCAATAATCGCGAAAGTATACTCCCGACAACGTATCCCAGACTTTGATACAACCCAGCATCTTCAAGTAGAAAAAGGGCAATATGTGGAAATAGAATTGGACCTTTATATTCCCTTTAACTTACCTGGAACACCTTGTGCTGATGAGGAATATCTTGAGATCCGTGATGGGTATAATCAGTCAGGGAATCTTTTGGGTGTATTTTGTGGAAGAGACGGTCCTCGCTTTAAACTACGTTCCAGTGGACAGAACATGTGGTTAAGTTTTTCATCTCACCATAAATACCGGCTATGGAATAGTTATCTTTATGGAAAAGCACTAAATGCAACAGGTAAGTATTCTTAGGTTTCAATGTTTTGATTTTCTTATTGGTATAATTTACTCTGAATGACATGTCTTATCATTTCTGTGCTTAGTTTCCACCAACCTAAAAATGGTCGCAGAGACTCAGTTTGTCCTGCTCAACCATTCG